CCTACGACGCTGGTGATTCAGCATGGATACCATGCCGAGGAACTTGTCGGACTACCCTACCACTCCATGGAACCAAGGATAAAATATAGCATTTTAACATCCGCTATAAGCAATATTTAAACTCAAATCATTCTTGCTCCTTTGTTTTTTTGTGCTTGGGGAAAGATCATGACTCGGATTAAGACCAGGCTTAGAAATACTGTTCAAAACAATTACAGAATATTGCGTATTTGGCTGAGATCGGATACCAGTACTGATTGCCACTAGAATATATTTTTCTTTGCTTAGCTAGTCGAGTTTGGGAAATACCCCATATGTCATAAATATGGATCGGATTGCTATGGATATTGATTGTTGCGATGGCTAGCTCAAGCGGTTGTCTGGAACTTGGGAGTATGCTGCGACTGCGTACCCTTGCCGAGCCGCAAAAGTTATAAATCGTCAGCAGCCGATTGACTTAGTACCTTCCTTGTGTTTAGTTTCAATAGCCCATCTTATAAATACCTACTTCCCTTATGCAGATTGTGTCTTATTGGATCGATACCCTACTTTCGTTGTTGTCGTCAATGTATGTCGAAACCAGAAAGAGATTATAAGCAAATAGCATGCCTATAGAACATAGTCCCCAACAGATGCAGGCGTTAAATATTACCGCTGAAAATCAGTGCGCTATATGCAGACAGGAAATAAACAACACACATCCATGCTTTTTATTAAATTGTAGACATGTTTTTCATAAACTTTGTTTAGAAGGTTGGTTGGAAGACCACAACCTATGTTATATTTGTAATCAAGTAATCAATCATCAAGAACTTAAAGTTGTTGTTGGAAACTGCTCCCCTCGGGCAAAGCAAAATGCACCCTCGGTCGGTCCAGGTGGTCCAAGAATAATGACTCGAAATTTGACGAAGGCGTTAAACCAAGCCGAAGCGTCACAGTCTGCCGATGTACAATAGCAACGCAATTCGGATGCCAGCGCTATGCAGTCGTCCGCACTGGATGCTAGCCATAGCACTAACCAAGCCGAAGCCCCACCTGACAGACAGACCGGTGGTAGAAGAAGAGGTAGATCAAATCGTACCGGAAATACCCGTCGAGATAACCAAGTAGATTATACCCGTATACAAGATATGATAGAACAAACAGTGACCCGAATTATGTCCTCTTTGAATATGAGCTCCGGCCCCAATCCCCGTCCTAGCCCTAGTCCTAGCAATGCACAAGGCGTATTAGCCGCAATACACGAAACTCCGTCGCCGATGGTATCCTCCATCTATACTCAGAAGACTGCCAACACCATGCAAAAGTGGAATCTCCAATTTGACGGGTCTGATGATGGCTTAGGAGTCGAAGAATTTATTTATAGGGTCAAATCTCTCACAGACGAAACACTAGATAGCGACTTTACTGGCATGTGCAAGCACATCCATGTATTGTTTGTAGGGAAAGCACGAGAGTGGTATTGGCGATATCACAAGCAAGTGGATCGCATCGTTTGGTCGGACATTTGTCTTCGCTTAGACAGCACTACAAAGACTACCGCTCAGACTTTATGAGTAGAAAGATGATCAGATCACGTAAACAAAAGCCCGGTGGATTCTTTTCAACCTTTTATGATACTGTTGCTTCTTTGGTGGATAAATATTCCGTCAAAGTTGACGAAGAAGAACTTCTCGAAATCCTGAAAAATAATTTATTGCCGGAAACCCGTCAAAAGCTTTTATATCAGCCTGTACATAGAGTTGGTCATTTACGTCGTTTGGTGAAAATGGGTGAAAACTTGACCCAAGAACTCAGTTGCCGCGCGGAGAGCTTCAATAAATCGAAGCCAGTTGCTAACCGTCGCCAAGTATATGCCCTTGACGAAGTTTGCTCCGACCTTGCGGAAGATAGACAAGCTGAAGTAGAGCTAGCCGCCCTTCACAGCCCGCAAGCGAAGCTTAAATGCTGGAACTGCGATGAGGTCGGTCATCTCTGGGAGAATTGTTTAGCTGATCGTCGTATTTTTTGCTATGGATGTGGCGCTCTTAATATTTATAAGCCACAATGCCAAACTAGCATTCGGAAACAATCGGAAAACCGTCGTTCGGGTGCAACCGCCTCCAGCCGGATGCCCCCGAAAGCCTAATCCAAGCCGCCTATAATGTAACCCAGAACACACCGCCACCGGACTCTGAGTCAAAACAGGTGGTCGTCCATCAGTCTCTCCCACTTCGCTTTCGTCCTTATGATGAACGGCTACATAACTATAAAGAAGTAAGGAACCGAATATTTAGCGAAATCAATCCCAGATTGAGTAAACGTAGTCTAAGACTTCGATTATTTTATGAAAATGTCAAAAAAACAAAAAAACTGCTCGTTTCAACGATCTTTAGTAACCCAAGCGATATGCGTAGCTATGCCGAAGTGTCCTTTCTGAAGTTCACCGAACAGGGTCTGTTAGACACAGGAGCAAATATTAGCTGCATTGGCTCGTCGCTCGCATCCGAAGACTTCACGGATTTTACCGAATTTAAGGCTCTAAAGGCACAATGCTAAAACCGCAGATGGGGAAAATCAACATATTGTAGGTGTCCTTGAGGTCATAATGACGTATAAGTCACAGAAAAAGCCCATGAAATTATACATTATCCCCTCTATCAAGCAGAAACTTATTTTAGGTCACGGCTTTTGGAGAACTTTTGGTCTTGCGCCAAATATCATTTATTCGCTAGAGCAAAATTCCGATCAGACAAAATCCTCCGAGGTTAATACATACCCGCTGAGCCAACCCCAGATTCAACAACTAGAAGTAGTGAAGCAGATGTTTCCCAGTGCCACTGTAGGTCTAGGTCGTACTAAATTGATACAACACCACATCGATGTAGGGCATACTAAACCTATCAAACAGCGATTTTACCCCGTGAGTCCGGCTGTGGAAAAACTCCTTTACCAGGAAATTGATCGCATGCTGGAGCTTGATGTGATTGAGCCATCGGAAAGCGCTTGGAGCTCCCCCATGCGGCTTGTTCTTAAACCCAACAAAGTTCGCCTTTGTCTGGATGCTCGTAAACTTAACGATGCTACAAAAATGGATGCTTACCCCTTACCCAGCATAGACGGTATTTTCTCAAGGTTGCCAAAAGCAAACATAATTTCGAAACTTGACTTAAAAGATGCATACTGGCAAATTGAACTAAGTTCCGAATCGAAGCCGTTAACCGCTTTTACGATCCCCGGCCGTCCACTTTATCAGTTTAAGGTTATGCCGTTTGGCCTTTGCAACGCGCCGTCCACCATGTGTCGCCTCATGGATAATATCATACCGCCTGATCTCCGACACTGTGTATTTGGGTATTTGGACGATCTCTGCAATGTGTCTGAAGATTTCTCTTCCCATCTCGCGGCCTTAGTTCGACTTGCTGAACAATTCCGGAGGGCCAACCTAACTCGCAATCTTACAAAAAGCCAGTTTTGTGTAACAAGTATTAATTACTTAGGCTATGTTATCGGTAGTGGAGGTATTTGTGCAGACCCTAATAAAGTGTCATGCATTTTGAATTGGCCACCGCCTAAAAATCTGAAACAGGTACGAGGATTCCTCGGAGTCTGTGGATGGTATCGCCGCTTTATTAACAACTTCGGCGACCTCACTTATCCCATTACAGAAGTGCTTTCTACAAAAAGGAAATTTACATGGACACTGGAAGCTCAACAGGCTATGGACCAGCTAAAAAAGATTTTACCTTCTGCTCCAGTGTTAACCAATCCAGATTTCAAGAAAAAGTTTTATTTGCATTGTGACGCTGGCGATTTGGCATCGGCGCCGTTCTAGTGCAATTATCTGAGGAGAACGAAGAAAAACCGATTGCGTTCATGTCGAAAAAATTGAGTCGTGCCCAACGCAACTATAGTGTCACGGAACGGGAGTGCTTGGCCGTAATACTAGCGATAGAAAAATTTCGATGCTACTTGGAGCTTCAAGAATTCGAGGTAGTGACCGATCATTCCAGTTTAATATGGCTAATGCGGCAGCAGAACGTTTCTGGCAGACTTGCTTGGTGGATTTTTCGATTACAGCAGTTCAAATTTTCAATATCGCATCGCAAAGGTAAAGAACACATTGTTCCTGACGCCTTGTCTCGTCTTGAAGAAAACGAAATTTCAGAGTTGGAGATGGGACCTGTTATTGATCTTAAATCGGATGCATTTGCTGACGATTCGTATGGCGCACTTAAAGAAAAGTTTAGACGAAAACAAGGGAAGTTCCCCGATGTTAAACTGCTTGACCAATTCTTGTATATTCGTACAGAACACGCAGTTGGAGACAATATACAAGAAAAAAACGCTTGGAAATTGTGGGTTCCCGAAAGGCTTAGGAGCGATGTCCTTAAACAAGCTCATGACAGTCGTACGTCTTCGCATGCAGGAATGCAAAATACCATTGAGAAGTTGCGTCGACATCTGTTTTGGCCTGGCTCAGCCAAAGCTGTGCGTGAATACATACGCAAGTGTGAAATCTGTAAAGAGAACAAAGCCCCAAACAGCACACTTCGTCCTCTAATGGGTGCTCACAAACCCACATGCCGACCCTTTCAAAGACTATACATTGACCTACTGGGACCTTATCCGCGCAGAAAAAATGGTCATATAGGGTTGCTGATAGTTCTTGACCATTTTAGCAAGTACCATTGGATACAGCCCTTGAAAAAGTTCAACTCCTATGCGATTCAAGAATTTCTCTTGAAAAATATATTTCACAGCTTTGGGGTACCAGAAACTGTTATCAGCGACAACGGTACGCAATTTAAAGCCAACGATTTCAACGCGTTCCTTGCCGAGCTAGGTATAAGTCACGCTTATACGGCGTTATACTCCCCGCAAAGCAATGCCGCCGAACGAGTGAATCGATCACTGTTAGCCGCCATGCGATCATACCTTACAGTATTTCGTGTTCGTTAAGATCTTCCCTACATCAGTCCCTAGGTTGTTCCCCATATCGTGCTTTATTCGGCCTAGACATGATTACGCATGGCTCTGATTACAAACTGCTTAAAGATCTATCCTTACTCGATGATCCTATTGTACCAATTTCGCGATCGGATAATCTGGCATTGCTGAGAAAAGACATACAAGCAAGTATACGCAGGGCACACGATCGCAATGAAAAACAATATAACTTGCGTTCGAAGCCAGTCTCCTTTAAAGAAGGTCAAGAAGTTTACTGCCGCAATTTCGCTCTTAGCAAGTTTACCCAAAACTTTAATGCTAAACTAGGACCTCTGTTTGTAAAATGTAGAATCCGTAAAAAGCTACTACCAACTGGAAGATTTGCAAGGAAAAGAAATAGGCACATATCATGCAAAGGATATTCGCAGCTAGTTCCACCTAATACTCCGTCTAATGGTGTCGTATTATTGGGTTTTGTAACAGCCGCCTGTAGGTCAATGGTAATCAGCCCTATCCTCGACCGTTTATCGCATCCGCTTTGCGACAAAAATGTGTCGCATGCGATCAAATTTATAAAAAGCTCGTACCGTAACGTCACTATTGCCACTTTGCTCTACCCTGAAGTCAACTGTGAGCTTAATTTAAGGGCGCACTAATGTCACACGCATTGCACATAGAAGCGCAACTAACTTTAACGCAAAACTTCCAAAACCTGAGCTTTGCTTTTTTGGGAAAATTCGGGTATATAAGGGCCCACGCAGCTACAGTTAGCCTCTTGCGGTTTTGGACATAATCTCACAAATAGATTTGTGAGCAAGTATTTTTTCCATTCTGTTCTAAGCTAGAATTGCTGCAACAAGGCTGTTAGTTATTATTCAATAGCATTTCATAGAAGGTATGTATTTCTATTAACATTTCGAAAGATGTTTTTTTAAGAAAATGGTTACTAACAGGGAGTCGGCTAAGTCCAAGCCCCATACCTATCACCACGGTACATGGTCGGCCAAAGTACAGCCGCCTCTAACATTACGCACCGATTTGGTGTTGGTGTGGAAAGGGATTGTAAAGTACTTTTTTGGATTCGCTGCCTGCATCTGGCGTCGGTTTGGAGTGGATCTCCAGTTGACAAAGATCACGCTACTCGATTACTTGCCTGCCTAGGTATACATACATATAAGTATGTGCATACGTATGGGCCCACGGAGAGTGCCGAATTCGATAGAATAGCAGCTTAATTTTTCCAAAAAAAAAAAACCCAACTACCTAAAGTCTGCAGAAAGAAAAGAAAAAGTGAAGTGTTGTTGTTGTTTCTGTTGCAACGATTACCAAAAAAAAAAAAAAATTTCAGTAAAAAAAACAAAAAATAAATAAATGGATATAAAAAAAATAGACGAAAAAGTCCTATTGTATAAAAAGTAATAAGCAAAACAATACGTAGTAGTGATTAGTTATAAAAAAAAACAAGAATTTAAAGGCGAAAAAGAAAAATTTGGAATCTTTGACAAACCATAAAAAACATCTTCCTGAATTAGAATCCAACCATACCAACGCTGGAAGGCTTTTCATTGGTGGAGCTGGACTGCCATATGTAAGTCATCTTTTATGTTTTATTATTTCTTGTTTCTCTTTTTCGCCATAAGCACAGCCAGATCGACGTAATAAGTATGTAGCAGCATATGTTCTCCCTGGGTATATACCTCGGCGCTAGCCTATGCAGTAGATTTGTAAGCGCATTCCTTATACATATATGTACATACTTATGTCTACCTGGTGCCCGCTTACGCATTAAAACCTACAGTTCAAGGCTCGACATAAAAACATAACAAAACTTAGGACCCACAAAACCCGTTTTGGAGTTGAGAAAACCAAAAGAAAAAAAAAACGAAAACCTAACATTTAACAACAACAACCTTACTTTTTATATGCATTTGATCTTCTTTGGCGATCAGCTGAGCAGATGTAAAACTTTCGTTCCTGATTATATATGTATACACCATTTCAACGAACACTAGCGATAGTGACTTATGTCTTTTTTTTGTGACTGATCCCTAACTAGAGATAGGTGTTTAAGTTGAAAAGTAAAGGGAATGCTAAAAACAGCAACCTGGTAGGAAAAAGTTAAGGAAAGAAAAAGAAAATAGAATAATAAATTTCTAATACATTGGATAAAGAATTTTCGAGAGTACGGCAGTAGTAGTGTTTAAGCCTATTGTAATTATTAATTATTATTTTTTTCTATAAAAGCTTGTGTGGCTATGGAGTTTCTATTACTATAAATTTTAATAAAACATGAATTTGTAACGTGATAAAATGACGTGCTAATTTTTTTTTGTATGTTCCTGGGCGACATGATAACGTAGGAAGGTAGGTGCAATTGTTATAAGGGATCTTCATCCAACATCCATATCGAAGATCATGGAAGGGAAGGGTACAGAATGCGAGAGTCGACTAACAACCTAGACCTCGCATGACTCTAAGCACTTCCGCGTGATGGAGGATTCAACGCTTTTTTTTTTTAATTTTACGTTCGTCTCCTAAACTTTTGTTTTTTGTTTTTATTGAGTTCGTGGAGTTTGGCTCCGCATTAGTTTCAGATAGGAATCCTTTAAAATTAAGTTTATGTGTTTCCGGTTGAAGCATGGAAAAAAACCCACCCCATGTCGCCAGAGCTAAGGCACGAGAGGATTCCGCCCGCCGTGGTCCTTCAACTGAGTACCGGTGAGGATGAGAGGTCGAGACCTGACTAACCTCTGCAAAGCATATCCGTGTTTTTAGTACCACCCACACCCCACCGTAATTCTTTACAGCGCATGGTTATAAAACCAAATAAAATTCGACTCTGTCTAGATGCTCGAAAGATAAAAGAAGTGACTAAAAAGGATGCATATCCACTTCCTTCAATAGAGGGTATTATTGCAAGGTTGCCGGGAGCGTATATCCTAACCAAAATTGATTTAAAGGATGCCTTTTGGCAGATTTCCCTGTCGGGGAAATCCGAAGAAATTACAGCATTTACTGTGCCTGGTCGTCCACTGTACCAATTTGTAGTAATACCGTTTGGCTTATGTAATGTTGCACAAGCGATGTGTCGGTTAATGGACTACATCATTCCAGCAGATCTGCAAACTCGCGTATTCGGATATTTGGAACGATTTATGTATTGTATCGGATAACTTCGAAACACATCTTTCTATTCTAGTTAGAATCGCGGAACAATTTCGAAAAGCCAATTTGACAATAAACATCAAAAAACGTAAATTTTGTGTTAGAAGAGTAAAGTACTTAGGTTATGTCATCGGGCATTGAGGTATCGTGACGGACCCAGAGAAAATCGAATTTATTAAGAACTGGCCTACTCCGAAAAACCTAAACCAAGTTAGGGGATTTTTAGGTTTAGCAGGTTGGTGTAGGCGATTTATCGAAAACTATTCGGATATAAGTTTCCCTATAACTGAAGTTTTGTCTACGAAAGGTAAATTTTAATGGACGAAAGCAACTCAATTAGCCTTTGAGGAAATAAAAGAACGTTTGAGAAGTTTTTTTTTACATTGTGAGGCCAGCGATTATGGAATAGGTGCTGTGTTATTCCAACTAGATGCTGAAGGACTTGAACGCCCAATAGCTTTTACGTACGTTTATAGAACGTTTTGGGTGCTAAACGCATAATTTTGAAATAATTACAGACCACTCTAAGCTGGTATGGCTTATGCGACAACCTAATTTAAGTGGCCGGTTAGCGAGATGGGCTCTTAAGCCACATTGGATTATTAATGGTACTGGATCACAGTCTAAATTCCATTTGCTTTGCCCTCTAAAAAAAATTCACCTTCTCAGCTATCAGCGAATTTTTACCAAAACATATATTTCACATACATATATGGAGTACCAGAAGACCTTGTCAGTGACAACGGTTCACAGTTTAAATCTAATGATTTTAACGCATTTCTCACACAGCATGGCGTCAAACTTATTTATACTGCGCTATATTCACCTCAAGCAAACGCTTCAGAAGGCGTGAGTCATAACATTAATTGCTGCAATTAGAGCTCATTTAAAGGATGACCACAAGGAATGGGATGTAAATTTAACACTTATCATGCGTTATACGGATTTGATATGATCACTCATGGGTCATCATATGATTTGTTACGTAAAATGCAAGAGCTGGATGAGCCATGTATACGATTACACCGTAACCAAAATTTTTTAAAAAACACGGAAAAATCAGTATATTTACAAAACTAGGAGCCAAATACAGTATAACTGCGTTTATAGTTTTTCTCTCTGACGTCAGGATTTTTTTTTAAAGGACTTTAAAATTTCCTGGATTTGATTGAATAAAAAAGTTATTTAAAAGTTTTGGTTCATTGTAGAGTAACAATATGGGTATCAGTTAAAAGGAAAAATTCTGTAGAATTAAAAATTAATAATTTTTTGTTGCACCAGGACAAACAAATGTTGAAAATGTCCTTATAAAACTTTATCCTTGAATAGCCTTGGAAATTTCCAATATATATTTTTGAAAAAAATATATGTCCATGACTAATATGTAAACTACCACATCCCCGATTTCGTCCTTCTTACTTTATTAGTTTTAGATAAACAAATTTTACACTTCTCTATAAGATATTGAAAGTTACAATATACATAAATGAAGATACTAGAATCATTGCACTGTACAGTACTCCGCTGGGTATTGGACCAAACCAATTTTTTTTAAGAGATTGATTCATAGGTAAAAAAGTAATTTCTCTGTTTTTCGAAGTTAGCCTCCGAAATCGAGATATGGGCCTTCGAAGATCGAAATAGAATATTTGGTAAACAATTATTTTTTATTATTATACGTAAATAACTAAAAAACTAAAAATACAGTCGTAGACTGCCTTTTGCTCTTATTTAAATGGTTTATAACATTCCTTCGTCGGCCGCTGTGGTGTAGTGGTAAGCAGTGCGCGCTTCCACTCCACAGCACATGGGTTCAAGCCCTGGTTAAAGCAACATCGCAAAAAAAATATAGAAAAAAGGTTTTTTTCTTAACAGCGGTCGTCCCTCGTCAGGCAATGGCAAACCTCCGAGTGTATTTCTGCCATGAAAAACAGCTCCTCATAAAAATACAATCGCCGCACAGTGTATCATTTCCATATTCTAGAAAAGATTAATTCCATTATTTTATGTCGCCAAATTTGAAAACAACGTCAAGAATGTTTTTATAAATTCCTGATAAAGATGAAACAATAACAACTAAAAAATTTTAATTAAAGTGTATGGCGGGACCGGGTTTGATTTGGAAAATTACCGAGCGCGATAATATTTAAACCTGAATATTTGAAACTGAATCTCAATGTTTATTTTGTCGGTGTTATGTGATTTATGGAACAATTACTAAAATACCATTTTGGTCTTATTTGCTTGGGTATGTTCTTTTAATAAAT